GATGCACCAGAAACTTAAAATAAAATCTTCTCTGACCTTTTAAAAAACTTCTTTCACAAACTTTCTTTCTTGTCAGTTCAGACTAAGAAGTTCTTTCTTTTCCTTATCAAAAGCCAGATAAAAATATTTCCTCTCCCTCTTCTCTCTCAAATTTCTGAAGCCTTGTTACAGGTACAATAGGCACAGTACACACTTAAAAAAAAAAAAAAAAAAAAAAAAAAAAAAAAAAAAAAAAAAAAAAAAAAACACCAAAAAAACTGTAAACCACCTGAAATAAGAAACTACGCGGACTTACAAGGAGTTGTCAAGCAAGACACAAAGATAACTGGCTAATGGATGAACAAAATAATTAAATTAACAGTGCCAGAACAACCCTCTACTATTTTGCAACAGGATCATTCAGCTGTTTGTTTACTAAACAATATAAGGATTGCAGCTGTTTCTGCCACAGGATTCAGTCCAAGTTTCCCTAAATTTGATAGTCCTGGATCAAKTCCATGGTAAATAACAAGGGTAAATTTAATCCTACAAATAAATGTCCATGTAGATTCAGCCCTAAAAAATTTAAACAGATACTTTAYTATTATTATTTTGATATCACATTACAGATGCATATGAATCTTTCCAGCCCATCAACTCCCAGCTGCTGAGGTAGGCATGACCTAGAAGAAAGAAGCCATTAGCTCCAGAGAGCATCAGAGAGCACGTCAATCAATTCCTACAGTCTGGACTGGCTGTGTTTCTCACAACAACATCAGAGTGGCTGGCAGAGTCAAGAAGGCAGCAGGAATATTGGGAAGGAAAGGGAGAAGCTGAGATACAAGAAATGAGGTGACAGTAGGAGAAGCAAGACCCATACACAAAACATGCCAGGAACACTTGCAGCSCATCATTCCAGCAAGGAGACAGTGCCTTTTGAGTCTTCCACTGGCAGGCAGMTTCTCTGCTGCTCTGAGCACAAATTGCCTTCATCCATCACGAGAGCATTCCCGCAGTCCTCATGTGAGCCACCATCTCCTCTGCCCTGCAGTGAYGTTCACAGCTCCCAAGAGTTATTAGCTGGTTACAGCTATTACCGCATTTTAAAGCTGGTAGATCTCTGTCCTTTCAAACTGCTCCTCCAACGAGGTTTGCAGTTCTGAGGTAACCCCTGAGAGACATTAGTTTTTCTTTTTCAGATTATTCCTTACAACTATTTTTGCCACGATGCCTACACAAAACGTGCACACACAGGCAGAAGTCTTTAGAATCATTTGGCAGCGCACCCAATATTGACATGTGACAAAGGTGTTTCTCAGGATGCTCTCAGCCTCGTGGTCTGGGGTTTTCAGTTTGTCTTTGGGAGTTCTCAGCTGCAGGGCTCAGCTTTGTGGAAATCAAAAACAATCAATTCTGGTTCATGCCCAAGACTATAAGATAATATTATAATAAAAATTAAGGAGAAAGGGATGCAGTTCTGGCTATGGATTGATTCTGTGGTCTTTGTTTCACATAGCAGGACCGAACGAGTAAAAACTGTAAATATTCTTTGTTTCCTAGTTATCCTGCAATATTCATTGGCAGTTCTGGGGGTAAGACCTATGAGTCCACCTCTGCCTTCAACTTTCAGGGTGACACACTTTTGGAGAAGCAAAAGCCCTTTCTTGAAACTTCCTTTACAGCTAAAAAATTTAGCCTTTAAAGCAACTTCATCTTTATTGTTTCTACATGCTTTGATTGCATGTCATGCCTAGGGAATAAATTCATGTCAAAGTCAGAATCCATTTTTTAAAGGTAAGAGGGTCCTAACATCAGGACTGACAAAAGGAAGGAACCTGAATCCATTGCATTATTTCCTTCATGGAGAGCAACAGAAGTTACAGACTGTGTGAAACTTTTTACAATAATACATACCCCTTGTTATCAAATTCCAACAAATCTCACATGTCCTAAGTCTTAAGAAAAACAAAAACAACCAACAGTATGATTAAAAAAAAAACAGTAACAGAATCAATCAAACCACAAAACCCCCACATCCAGGGAAGTCACTGCTTTCAAATAAAGCGAAAACATGTCCATGCTCCTCAAAATCATCTACAGCACCAGCAAACAGCCATGCCAGCTCTGAACTGTATGCAGAATGAAACTAAATATAACTAAAGCATAACAGCTCTTTTACAATCTTTTTCCTTTAGGACTACCTTTCATGCAGTTCTGTATATTCAGCTCTGGGATGAAAGACAGMGGCTGCTGTCCCATTTTCCCCAAGAGCCTCTCTGTCTTTTTGTATCACATGAGATGGTAGGAGTACAGCAATTTCCTCACAGGCATAAAGACAAAAAAAAACCCTCTAAAAATCAAAGCTTTATACATTTGCCTCACAATGCAATCACCAAATGAATGCCCCCCCAATCACATAAATTCATAACAGTCTCAATAAATTAATTAGTGAATTCACACAGGAAGGGAATAGCCTTATCATGAAGAAAGCAATGTTTCATATTCCAGTAGTTGGAGCACAAATGTCATTTGGCAAGAGGCAAAAATCAAGTGATTTTCCAGCTATTTAAACAMAAAGCACAGCTTCAAGCTAATTAATGATGTACCAGACTAGCCAAAAAAATAAATTTGTATAGTAAAAAATGGAAGGGGCTTATGCAAAAACCATCCTGGAGCTAATAATCCATGAATCCATGCTCCACTTTGGAGTTCTACGAGTGAAACCGCTCATCCTGCAGTTTTACACAAATAAACAGAAGCCCCCTTGAAGACAAAATGAGGATGTAGCTCTCTACTTACACACAAGGACTAACTTGTGTAAATCCCAGCGTTAATGGCACAAGAAAACAAGACTGTCCTCCTTGAACTATACCAGGAARGGAAGAAATATTCATTGAAAGGGTATGGAATAATGTCTCACAGGACAAAAAAAAACCCAAATGCCTTCATTAAAATAAACCTAGGCTCTTGCACTGTCATTCATTTTTACTGACTGGTTAATAAATGGTACTATTCTTCTTTAGGATGCCAAAATAAACCAATCTTATAGGTTGTTGAATTTGTTTCTGGATTCAGTTCTTTTCAAAACTGGCTCTGACTGACTGCAAAAGGACCACGCAAATCAACATTAACATCAATGAAACTTGCTTCTAATTGAGCATACCAATCAAATAAGCAAATGTACAGAGACAGCTTTTAAACAGATGTTGATTAATATTGGTCTTTCCTCCCAGAAATTGATTTTCTCCACCAATTAAATACTGTCCTGAAAAATACAGTTTTAACTCTGCCCTGAAATTGGTAACATTGCTCTTGTCCTAAGCCCCAAACCTATTACTTAGATGACAATCCTGCCCCTTCAATTTTCTTTCTGGAGCATCTTCATGTTGTTCCCTACTTTCCTTTTTACAAGGAAGACTATCAGCTTCTCAAAAAGCTTTCCTCTGCTATGACGTGAAAAGGAGACAACTCAATGGTGGCTGAACACCTGCTAYGCAAAGCTGTGCTCCTCTTTCAGGAGCTGCATTTGGCATTACCCTTTTATTTGTCTCTCTCCATATTAGCCTTTGTTCTGATACTGCAGGTTCTCTCACCTGGTGCTAAAAACGAAAATCACACAGAAATTACAATCTCTGTTACAACTCTAAATTGGCTATCCAGGGGCCACATATCCATTCTTTACTGGTTTGCTCATGGCACACTGGGGCTAGGGGTAGGTGGGAAGCAACAATGAAAGAATTGTTCCGCCTTTTTTTTCTTGGAACACAGCATTTAAACTTCACAGGTGAGAAACACTCTCTTTTATGGCCATGTGACAGTCAATGCCTTCACACTTTTTACATTCTGATATTTCACAGTAGAAACCCACTGCAGTCCAGAAGCACTTTATGTTGGAAAAGCTACTTTAGCTATTCATAAAACTTGTGAAAAGTACTATAATTTTTAAGCTTAATATTCAAATTGATTGATGCTGTCAGCTTCTTTTGCCAATAGAACTATCACTGAAGGAGTGATAAGTAAGTGTCAATGGGCAAATTAATGACTGGCACGTCTGACATTTGACAGAGATCAAGTGCTATCAGTTCAGACCAAATCACTGGTGATGGTTTATACTGCAGGTATGAAAGCCTTATTTACAAGAAAGCTAAGGATGTCTACTACCACCTGAAAGGAGTTTGTAGCAATGTGGTGTTAATCCTCTCCTGACAAGTAGCAAGCAATAAGACAAGAGGAAATGGCCTCAAGCAGTGCCAGAGGAGGATTAAATTGGGTATTAGGAAAAATTTCTTCATGGAAAGGGCTGTCAAGCATTGGAGCAAGCCACCCAGAAAAGTGAGGCACTATCCTGGTAGGWCTTTAAAATTTGTGCAGATGTGACACTCAGGGGGATGGTTTAGTGGTGGACTTGGAAGTGCTGAATTAATGGTTGGACTTGCTGATCTTGGAGTTCTTTTTTCAACCTTAACTATTTAATGACTGGGGAAAAGGGAAATGCTAAAGGGGAGAAAAGTTTACAATATACCCCAGCTGAATCACAGCTACAATATTATTCTTTTAACAAGTTGCCAACATTTATGCCTCTCAATGAGAGGCTAGTATATTACTTAAGGCATATTTACCTGTAGAGAAAGATCAACCTCTTCACTAGGTAGACAGAGAGTTAAAAAAAAAAAAAAACAAAACCAAAAACATCTGAACTAAATTTCACATAGGTTTTATTAGCACCACAGACCTTGTGAAGTTCAACAGACTAAACTTTCACTGGCATTTGAACTTGCATCTTTATAAAAAGAAGGACTAGATGGAATCTTCAGGATCTAGGAATCTTCAACACTAGGCTGAAAGCAAAGGGTCAGGAGACAATACTTCAAGGCATGATTTAAGATATTCACAATTCTATTCAGACTATTGAAAACCCTTTATTAATAGGAGCAATACCATTGTACATTCTTGAAAGACTTAACAGATTATACAAAGGCTGACTCAAACTTAACTTTATACCTCCAGATCTTACTGCTCACCTTCTACTAGCTGGTCCAAGGAGGAAATCTTCTTGGAGCCATCAATTGTGTAGATTGTTCTCACTCCCTGGGGCAGGTTCACATTATCAGACAGAGTTCGGGTCAGATCAGCCAGGAGAGCCTCAAAGGACCTAAAGCGGTCAGGGGAGATGGCATATACAATCCCTTTGAAATACCGGTCTCCATTACGATAGAAACGAACTTTCTTGGCTTTCTTYTCAGAACTCAGGGTCTGTAGAGTACGGGTTCGGTAAAAGCTGCAGTGGGCACTGTGAGTAGGGCTGGGCAAACCATTCACCCGGGACCCTCTGCCGTATCGYTGCGCTTTATCACGCTCATCAAAATGCTCCAGCTCCATGTCTCTCCCAAGGGACATCTTGAAGTTCAACCTAAGGAATGTACAAGAGGAGAGAAAAAGCTTAAGAAACTAAAAAKTTTTAAGGGAGTTCAATTTAAGACTTCCTGTTCTATACACGGCACTCACAGAGCAGTTATTACTCCGTTGAGAAAAATGTGTGGATAAAACCATGCWACATTCACACGGTCATTTTACACGTAAGCTTCTTGCCTCGCCTCACCTCACCCACATTTAACTTAGACACCACATTAACATCACTCACACACCCAAATGCTAACAATATGCAAACATCGAGAAGTGTTTGTTYAAATTCAGTACTTCAGAAGGAAAATGAGGTGACAAAGTTGACCTACTGGAAAAAAAGGAACAAATGCATCAGCTTTCTACTTTTTCTCATGTTATATTCAGGTGCTATTTGAGTCTCGTCTACCTTTCTAGACCATTTACGCCCACCAAACTGTTGGTTCCAACTCTGATCTCAAGAGATGTTGTTTCAGAAGCGCAGCTAGTCACCAACAACTAAGAAATCAAGATATTTTCAGAGCGTTAGATCTGGCAGGCTGGCAGTGAAAATCAGGATTACCACAATTCAATTTCAATGTTAAAAGCTACCTGCATATTCCAACCACTGGTTTCTTCACAGCTTAAGCTTTGTAATAAATTACTTTAGTTGTCCTTGTGCAAATGCCTTACATAGTCTGAACCAACAGAAGGGCTCAAATGGCACGAAATTAAAGAAAAAAATATAGAGAGGGACAGTATTTTTCAACAAGCAAGCTACTTCAGTGGTCTGTAAGACTTGCATGATGTATTATTGATATACTAATCCTAATATTCAAACTAATTAGGGCCAACAGCTTTTTTTTTTTTTTTTTTKYTGTTTATCCAAAGGAGTGATAAAATCAGTGTCATTGAGCAAATTAGCAATTGGTGTCTCCCATGCTTGACAGTGAGAAAAATCTGTCAGCCCTGACTGAAACCATCTCAGCTGTTCAATACAGTTAACATAAACAGAAGTTCACAAATTCTGAAATGAAATCAAGGAGGCAAATTCTTCTGTTCCTTTTTACAACCAACCAAGACTAAATACTACAAAGTGCACATTAATCTTCACAAAAGGAAGACACAAAAATACAAAAAAGATAGAATGATCAAAAGCTCATTAGGTTCCAAACATACTCCTTTTAATTTCGCAGCCACCTAGATTTGCAGCTGTCTGCAGAATAGTAAAGCACATTAAGTTTATTTATAGCACAGATACACAAACCTAATCTAGAAGTGGCCTYTCTCATTGATTTCCAATAAAAAGACAAAAGCCAGCCAGCACTAGCTTTATTTTAACCACTCATTATGATGTGACCATTAAGAAAAAAAATATATTCAGACTAGCTGTAAAACAGTGGGAGGAAATAGAGGAAAAACAGATGCTCTTTGGCTCRCAGAAGTTTGTATTAAACCAAAAATTATACAGCTGGACCTTAATACTGCAAAGCTGTAGGTGATGCACTCGGCAACTTCTCAGAGCAGTTTATATGCTGGACTAGCACAAGCACCCAAGGCAAATCTGGAGCCTGGAAATTATTCATCCTGCTTTGGTTACAGCTTATAACTGACTTTGTTACACTGACACAGGATCATATGCTTATATATAAATGCAGGATTTAGACTTGAAAATCCTTTCAAGGTAGCTATACCTAGTACAGCCTATGTGCGTGTGTGTGTGTTTTCTTATATATATAGAAAAAAGCCTAATCCCTGCTTTTCCCACACTACCTCCCACTTCAGTGAAATGAACAAGAACATTTGCTGTGGCATTTCACTGATACTTCTCTATAGGTTAAAAACAAAACACAGTTTAGTGGTTACATTTTAGGATTGAGATCATACCACGAGTGCTTCCATRTTAAAACAATTATGTCAGTTATTTTAATTCATATCTAACAGGTTCCAGTGAGAACCTGTTATTCAGATTTAAACAATCCCAGAATGCACAATTCAGAAACTGTATCTCTGAAGCAATTCCTGTGCAGAGAAAACTGGATTTTTCTTAGATCTGCTGTTTTCTTTACTCAAACCATCTTAAATACACACGCATACCAACCAGAAAAAAAAATTACACGAAGATATACTTTTTTAAGATCCTTTCAGCTTTATTAATTTTGGATGAGGGGAGAAAGAAGTGTGAGTCACTGTCCTTTCTTCCACACGTTTATGCTTTTATCAATAATGTCTGTAATTTCCAAATACATCCTTAAAAACGAGATAGAGCTCCCCTTTAGCTCCACAGTCCTGGTATGTACAGAAAAGAGTATTTAAACCACAAGGTCAGAGCAGACAAAGAAATCCTAAACAATTTGATCTGATATTTACGTTTGTCTGTATKAATATATAGTCTTATACAGGCAGACACGGAAAAACGAACGGACACGCCCCTGAAAAACCACCATGCCAACACCTCACACCCTAACATCTGTTCAAGAATTATTTATAATACAGGTGTGGGTGAGCATTTCCATGAAAAAAACCGCACATGCTTATAAAAAAAAA